CAACAAATATATTTTGTGAACACATTCGAATTTCGCAAATAAACTCACACATAAATGGTCGTTTCTGTAGTCGTCGCACAATCCGTGGCATTCATTTATTGTCTACAATAATGACAATTAAACAATTGAACATCACATGACCACTGAATTCATCTCATGAACAACACTTGATGTAATGCATAAACGTGAATGATTATTCTGGATTAGAGGATTCATTTGGTGTGCACTTCGAATTTTTTTCCATTTTGCTTCAACGTTTCAGACTGATCAATAATTTTGACTGATCTATCGTGCGATTTCAGTGAACAATCCCAGGTAAATGCAAAAGTTCATTCCGTATTCTGTGTGACCACTTCACAAAATAAAAACATTTCAGGATGTTTTTATTCAGTATAAAAATAAGTATAATAAGTATGAAAAATATCGACTTCTTAATAGCACTTAATAGGATAAAAAATAAGAACTTCCGTCTCGACTGAGCGCGAACGATACGATTCGTGAGGGAGAGCAAATTGATATTTGAATCAACATTTAGCTCTGTACTTTAGCTGTCTATATATAAGACAGGATAGATATGCACAGATATAAAATAAGCATGATGAAACAGAATATTTGTATGTACTGTTGGATGATCATCTTATCCCTTTGCATGATCATCTTATAATGCCCTATCGATTTGGATGTTGGAATGAAAACGAACGAACCTTCTCTTTGCTGTAAAAGCAATCAGCCAAACATCGCATGTAACATTGTTCAGAATCTTTCAACTCTTCACTGTTAGAAACACAAAACGAGCAGTTCAACAGAATTAAATACAGCAGTAAAATTAGCATCGAATCAACGTTGAGCAACTATCGTTCTGGCGTCATACAAGCGGATGAATCTGCAAAAATCTAGGTTGCACTCGAATTCATTGAATGCATTCATCATTCCCGTCGTCATATGCTCACTTTTTTGATCAGAAGGTAGTCTCGTTATCGTGTTACGAGATTCGCTCCGAGCCAATAGGATTGTCACGAAACGGTTCTGATTAAAACAAGTAGACTCTTATCAATCGAACACGAACAATGACATCTTAACAGTGACAGATGAATTAGATCATAAAATTCACTCGATTGGAATAAAATCGCAGATTTCGACTGTTCAAATCAACCGAAGTGAATATTCTAAATATTCTGTTTATGCAGCAAATCAATGGAACGTATTGAAACGTTATCCAGCCGTAAATCTTACGGAGATTTGGAGAAAATAGATAATTGGAGTATACGAGAAGGAATAAGGGATCTACGAGAACGAGGAACAACCAGATGATCTAATGAAATGGCTGGTATTGATGCATTCAAACGAGGTTGGTTGCTCGTTCGTCGATCGCTGTCGTGATCGATTGACCTTGCCTCAACTCATATCGCCGTCTTCTTCATGATTGCACTCATATTAATCGCAGATGAATGCATGAGACAACATTCCATACTTAATGTCACATTAGCGCCATTCATGTGCCTCACTCACTGAATTGCAATCCGAAACCATCTCGCTCGATTCAGTTCCATTTCATATTCTCTTTTTTAATCGACCGCAAATATTTCCTCTCTTAACAACTGATATCATACTCAAATAATGACTCCATTCACTGCGTAACAAAACCTATTCATCTCGTATATTTCATAATTGATGTGTATAAGTGATAGTGAGAATGAAGGAAAGGTTTGCGTGCAAAAACTAAAAACCATAAATAGATGCAAAAATTCGTGTATTTATGCATAAGAAAATTTTTATAAANTTTCCTTGAAAAACGTTTACTTATTATCAGTTGTATGACATTTGAATAAATAATATCTTCAGTTTGAATAGAACTCTCTTTCGATTGACGTAATTCAGTGCTACGATGCTTTACTACACAAATATCATGATAGCAATCACAATAATAATGNTTACATAAATTTTTATAAATCGATCACAAATCGCTTACGTAAATTACATAAATTATTTTCGCTGAACGTTTCCTTGAAAAACGTTTACTTATTATCAGTTCTATGGCATTTGAATAAGTAATATCTTCAATTTGAATAGAACTCTCTTTTGATTGACGTAATCCAGTGCTACGATGCTTGACTACACAAATATCATGATAGCAATCACAATAATAATGCTACAACAATATATCAACAAAAGTGAGAATAATAGTATTACTATAAATGATCACAACAGTAGGCATAACAATATCAGTCATGTAAGAATAATAATTTTGAGGTATGGAGTGCATAAATGTGCTGAATCAATATTTGAATTGGCCAAATAACAATAGAACTGAAAATAGCATTCTGCTGAGCACAACAAACCAAAAGCTTTTTTCTCATTCCTCTGAAATAACTCCTCTATCCGTATTCGGCGGAGTGGAATGTGAGAATTACTTTGCAAATGGTTTCGCCGAACGCAACTGTATGACCATAAGGTTGGACAGGGACGAACATATTAACTGAAGTTATGAATTATTATTAAATTAAAGTTTCCATTTATGATTTCAGTCACGACTCCGTGTAAGACTGACGCGTTTCGTTGTAAACAAATTCTAGAGGTGATTGAGAGTGTGGAAAAGAATACCATACAATAGTAAGTGATTTTCCTCATCACCTTAAGATAGTCTCAAGATATTTCTTAGATGGGATAGAAAAATCTTTAAAGCAAGAATGAATTAATTTGATCGAAATGATTGTGCTTGTCAAGATATCGTCAACGCAACTATCATTAAAATACAGATGAACGATAACCGGTTTCATCGAACAGCAACTAACCCGTTCATGCAGACTGTTGTCTGTCGACTGCAATAAATTGATGACAGCAAATTTCTTCATTTCAACACTGAATGGTACCATATAATGTGGGAAATTTTGAAAAAATCTGTCGTTTCTAAAACCTATTACGGTTCATTTCTCAATAAATAATTAATCACCCAGAAAGTTAACGCGAAATATTCACTCGAAGTTTTCATTAGTTTTAACTTCTGAATAAAATAAGAGCGCATAGCAAGATGAATCTGCTCATGCAAACTCACTACCTAACTGACAATAAGAGACATAAGTTTTCCAGCAAAATGTGATCATTGGCGAATGTTGAATTATATCATGCATAAAGAATGAGAATTCGTAGCGATATGAAGAACGAACGATGTTTTGAGAATTTGATTGTCAGTTCCATAAAATAGATTGATAAAGAAAATGCGTCCATCAAACACGGCTGTCAAATATATGCGACGTGTCGGAGCGTTTTCGGTGAACGGGGAATTGTGTATGGAAAGAAAAATTCGGTAAATTTCTTCGTAAATGTCTTCAAATGACTCATCATTTGGGAATTATGAATCTGTCAACTCATTCATCATTTTGCATATTTCGAATACTCGGAAACGAATCGACATCAACCAACAACCATATCAAAACATTTCCCGAGGGAATTATCGCAATTATTGGAAGTTTCGTTTAGCATTTTTTTCAGTTCCATCTCAGTGAATAACTTCGCATAAATTCTCACTGGTTGAGGCGAAAAAAAAATGCAAAGTTAGTCGATCGTATTCAGCCAAGTTAGCCAATCGAATATGATGATTTTAGTCTCATTTATACGATGCTGAGATTTTTGAAAACACCAAAATTTCTCACCGAAATAAATCGAAACAGAATTTTGATCAGTGGAAATTTTCATTTTCATAGAATGCTATGCATGAGCAGTGTTGCAATTAGAGCAATCTTTTTCGACGTTTTGCTGGTGGAATTACTGAACACTAGTCGATAATCGTTTGTTTCTTTTTTTTTCATTAATTAGCAGATGTGAATAGGGGAAATTGGAAAAAAGTGATATGCAATGGAACAAGAGCAACTGTAAATGAAGGTATAACTGAAGAAAGGAGTGCCGAAAATACATTTTAATTAGCAAAATTGTCCCGTCTACACAACAGAATCGTGTTTTGACGCAGAAAGAAACACACGTTTGGTCAACCGGAAAGCGAATGATTAATCTGAACGAGTTCTGCTGCTGCTGCTACTGCTACTGCTGTTCGTTTCATCGTCTTTAGTGGCAATTATTCAAAGTTCAATCATCGGTTTGCTGACAATTTTAGTGAAATTGTTGTGTGATCGATTCAAATTTCATTCGAATTCGGATGTTGTATGATGCAATTTGCATGCCACACTCTCAATTCCTTACAATACATCATCACCAACATAATTTATGTTCACTGCTCACATCGTCCATTACTTTCATGTGCACACACCTCGACGAGATGGCGAAAAAATGACTTTTTTCGAAACCACAAAACCAAAAATTCCTGTGCATTTGAACATGAAATGAGAGAAAAATAAAGCTTGAAGGATTTCCATTCCAAGTGGCGAATGTTGAAATTATGAAAAATTTCACCAAAAAAACACATCTTTCGTTGAATTATAAATTGGGTATTGGCACAAAGAAAATCGAAATTCGCACGAAACATTCAGAAGATTGCAGTTGAAAAGAATGCAAGAAAGACTCAAGTGCAGCAATAGAAAGTCTTACGTTCGATTCATGCAAAACACAACAACGGCAGCAGCACAACTAAACGAGTTTATTCAAAACGATTCGAGTGTTCAAAATGATGATAATCATGTCAAAAAATAATATGCTTCTTGTTGTTGTGAGATTCGTAGAATCGTTCACGTTGATATTGCACCACTGAATTCCGCCAGAAGCAGCTTTTCATACGCTCAAATCGCTCATAGCATGGCATGAACGAGAAGTCGAGACGCGTTTCATTTTGTGACGGCTGAAATACGCTGGTGACTTTGCTGCATAACCACACCAGATCAAATTACATTAATTAAGTTGACCTTCGATCGTTCAACCCGTAAAAGAGCTTGAGTTTCATTCTAATCCTAATTCTGCATCGAGTTTCCCAAATTTGTTTTGCCCTGGCAATTGGTGTTCATCTCCAAGTTTCAATTAAATGAAATTAATTATACATATCACTGCAAATCCAATCAAAAAATCCGAACCGGTGCACAGAAGATCAAGCATTTATCACCGGCCAGTGTGTTACCAACACCATTTCTCGCACAACACTCTCGATGATCCATGCTCTTCGTTGCACAGAAGTGCATATCGTTCGCTGCTTGGATGGGACACGCATCCAAACCGAAGAACATATTACGAAGCTGAAATTCATTCAGTGCAAATTACGCGATATTCATTGAAACAACATTGAAATCCCCCCTCTTTTTCAGTCAACACCAAAAGTGGATATATTCATTCAGTTTTCTTGTTCTCATATTACTGAATTGATCGCTCATCATATCCACTGTAAAAATTAACTGCACTATAGGTGAATGATCGTCGGTTATTTGTTTATCAGATGAAAATTAGATCTTACGATTAGCCATTTCGTTTCGCAATTGTGGGCTTTCCTTGAAAGATGCATCTAATCTTACTAGATCCCAACGTGCGGGCATGATTAAGGCAATGGGATAATGTGTCAGCAGAAGAGTATTTCACTTACAGTGTCTTTATTGTATCGACTGAACGAACACTTGCTGAGACATGCACTTGGAAGTCCAGCATCTTTGCAGCACGTCAAGAAATCATCGTTTGGATTCTTAAAATGAACATTTCATGCACCTACAACTCTTCAAAGGAAACTTTGCGCCTGAGATCTTTCAATACTCGGATTTCATTTAATCCGAAGATCGGTATGAATATCATCGAAAAATTATTGCTTCTCCGTGTGTCCACTATAGAACAGAGAATTCCATTCGATTCCTAATATTTCGTCAGTGCTGAATCGCAAGCTCGGCACCTACTTTCAATTTCATGTTCAAAGGCAAGTCACAAATGAAAATCGCCAACTGAATCAGTACCATAGTTGATGGTCGATTTCCATCGGTGCGTAAAACAGCACCGAATTGCTTCGGATTTCCAGAATGCGTTTTCGTCCCCTGAAATCAGGGAGCATGTTTGTTTTCTCACTGTTCTATGTCAGTGGATTTGAGAGCAGATGGTGGCATCAAAAATCCAACGAAGTCAAAAGGATAATCAACGATTTGAAGGGACTGACACACACCACAACAGCGAATACTCGCCAATCGTTAAATTTTGCAAAATTGTTCCAGTAAGACATCAGTGCCATATCAGCTTTCCCGAACTGATTAGCACAGATAATTCTTTCACATTCTATAAAAAACTTACCCTTGCTCGAGCACAGCATTGTGAACAACCTCCAATCCCACCTCCGCCACCGCCACCGCCACCACCACATCCTCCGAGACCCATGCACTACAAATGGCATCGTTTACCAGTGGATTCATCAAAAATTAACATCTCAAACAATCGCTTGTGAGATATTTTCATGGAACATTTCATAACTAACTTATTGGCAAACAAAATCACTCGTAACTGAGAAACCAAAAACTCTGATCAGTGCAATCTTCAACATCTGTTCATTAACCACAATACCAGACAAGAATGAAGCGGAACACTTACCGCTTGCGAAGTTCCAAAGTAGGCTAGCAGTAAAATGCCGTGAATAACTACAAGGTCCATCATGGGCTCCGTTCTGAGTTGTTGATTACGAGAAATGAACTGACTGATATATTGAGCGAGTTTCAACTCCGATAATCACCGAAACGATCTCACCAAAATAGACCAAATGTTCAAACATCAGTGTGCGCGTGCTATTTATAGTTGAAGTTGAAGCAACCCTTTTGTTGATATCCCATTCATACCGTTCTTCTGTAGAGCATCATCCTATTCAAGTTCGCATCTCTTGTATCTTACAGCATACATACGCATGAGAATGTAATGCATGATTTCTATTTTAGTAATACTCAACAAGTAATTGAAGACATCTTTTGCAATTAGTAACCACTTGTGAACACATTTAAAACCATGCTTGCGAATGACCATAATCACTTGTCAATGGAATTAAAACCTTGCTTGTGAATGCCCACGAAAGAAAATCGTTTTTGAGTTCTCTTTGAAGTGTTTTTCCACTTTCATTTGAGATATTCGATGAAAAATCACACCTCAACAAGCTCAATTATGCAGCAAGTTGAATTCCGTCCTTGAATTTTGTTCATATGCTCAACCTTGAACAGCTGTTATCCAGTTTTTGATGGTTCGTTTTCTTTTCATTTCACAATCAAAACGATTCTGCCAACCGGTTCCGCACTCTTCAAGCACTTAAGAATCCTCCATAAGTCTTCAAAACGATAGTGAAATTTGCATTCATTGCGGTCACTCATATTAGTGTTGATATGAACTGATTTTAGTCAGCGTGTTCTCAAATTAATCTCAACTATCAATCATAAGCCGAAAATTAGATGAAATACGATGTTGGAAAGAGCCAAAGAGCCAAGTAAGTAAGCGCTTTACACCCAACGATTCAGGTTCTTTTCTCAATTCCATGAGACACTTTATTCAGCTACTCTTCCTTTGAAGGTGGTGACTCTGATACTTCTAAAGTAATGCACAAATTGATCAATAGAGA